AACTCCTACAAGTTGGCTTCTGACTTCCACGCACATGCATGCCCACATGTGCGCACTTATGCACGTGCACACACGTGCACAAGCACTTGACAGCACACACACACACACACACACACACACACACACACACACACACACTTACTTTACAAATTTGAGCTTGACTCTTCTGGGAATGCAATGTGAGTGACACTCAGGGTTCACTCAGACAGAAGGGATTCAGGAATGAGGAGAAGCTTGGAGGTGTACAGTATCACTTCACGGGACACCTAGGCTTCAGGAAATGGGTCACATATGCCTAGGCTTGTTTGGTAGAATGACAATGACCTTTTACCACTTCAGGCTAGGGATCATGCTTTTAATACATCGCCTTTGGAGAACATTCCAGATCCAAACTCATGCAACCACAAAATCCAAGGTCAATAAACTTAACTTCACAAGAGTGTCTCAGGAAGGGACTTGGTGAGGATCATGGATTGATTTAAATACAGTAGAGTGTCCCCTGGGTCTTCCTCTCCTGGGGTCGAGGAAGCAGGCAGAGCAGGAACCAGAAGTGTTCCCTAAGTCACTTTGTCCTGCGGATGTGTGTGGCCAGCAGAAATGTTTTCTTACTTACCATACTTGTGCGGGGACATCTACTAAGCAGGCACCCCCCTCCCCCAGTGCAGGATGCCATCAACATCTATCTGCCATGAAAGAGACAAGAGCCTTTCCTTGTCTTATTTGCAGAGAGAGCTGTGGTTCACCTACCCACATGGAACTGTCTGAGAGGATGAACACTTGTTCTATACTCTGGGATTAATGAGGAGACACGAGGGACACGTGGTTGTGTTCCCCTAGTGAAGACTAACTGGCTTACAGGAGCATCTCTTAGCAACAGCTCACCCTGCTTTATCAGACAAATGGCAGGTCTGGGTCTGCCTTACTTCAGGTCACTCTGTGCATGGGTGACAAGACCAGGAACCCTCTTTCCTAAGCACTGAGAAAAAGGACAACAAGATCCAGGTGTCATCAGGTAGATTTGGGCTCTGTTCCCAGTCAATGTCCTCATCCAGAATCTACCACAATGTGTAGCCAATCAAGGAACATGTCCCACTTTTCTGCTTCTGAGGTGTGTGATGGGGAGAGCCTAATGGATAATTCTGTTCTCACAAGAGGCAGTTAAAGGGCTCTCTTCACAAATCACTGGGTCTGGGATTCTTCCCTCATTTTTCACTATGGGTTCAGTTTACCACCACTTAAATTTACTGGTTTAATGGCATGCAGCAGAGGATGGAAAAGCAAGGCTCTTTATGCTTTATGGTTCAAACACCTGTAATCTTCCAAGTCCAGACATGTACATACCAACACATCCATTTATTTGTTTCAAGGCAATGAAGAGAGGCCCATCAAAGGGCCTGCTTCCATCAAACACTCAAGTGTTTAGTGAATTTACAAAAAAGTGAGGTGTGACATCAAAGAAGAAAACTGACCCATATTTGTGAGGTGGGGTCGTGTTTTTCCTGGGGTATGCTTGTGAGGTTCTAAGAGAAAAATGCTCCCAACAGGAA